CCCCAAAACCCCAAAACCCCAAAACCCCAAAACCCCTGAGAGAAAGATTGTAATTGGCAGTGACTCATTTGGATATTTACGATGTTTCAGGAAAATAAATTTATTAAATATGAGCTCATTGCTCTAATTGGCTTTGGGGGTCTTCCCAATCTCTTCACACTCTCGTGAGCTAAGCTGGTTGCTCCTATGAGAGCTTTTCATGGTTTGGGCCTGCACCGTCTTGCGGCTACTTCTGCCTTTGCTGAATTTCTATAAAGTTGTTATGGAGTCTTACGCTCTTTTCTGATGTCCGTTTTTCTCTTCTAAGTTTATTTATCTATAGAGTCATGATATTTGGTGAGAAATTGAAGTTCTTACAGAAAAGTGGGTCACTTTGACAGACATTCTCCTGTTTCTTTCTATTTTGGCTTTTACTTTCTGTTTGTACCCGTTGAGCAAGGCTTTGCTCCGAATGGGCGAGTTCTGGCTGACAATATCCTAAAGAGATAGTGGTAAAATACCTCGAGAGATTTATCTCCTCCAAACATGAGATAATTCTCATCGATGTCCAATGGTCCAATTCCGTCACTCTTTTGTCGCTGAAGCTGGATGCTTTGAGCAAGCTCATGTTCTTTCTGAGTGAGAGCTACAGAGGACCTTCTCATTTCTTGAAGCCCCTCTGCAATAAAAGGGTGGACTTGGAAGATATCTTTGTCAACTGAATTATGTTTGTCGTCATTCCTTACTGGCTTATTCGGGTCAAGTCATTTGACCACAGGAAGATTGACTTGGTCATTTCGGATTTTGACTCTGTCTTCTTCCTTCTTATTCTCAGATTCATTTGATTCGCTTGCTACACTTGCTTGATCTGGACTACGCCTAAAGAGCTGGGGTCAGATCTCTTCCGGAATTTTACCTTTCATGTATACATTTGAATTGAGAAGCTGGTTCTGGCTTTCTTGGTAAATTAGCTTTATCAGGGGAGGATTTTTCTTGGTGAAACTAAACCTCCTGTGAGGATCCTTCTTCATACTTTCCTTAATCTTCATCTTCATTTCTTGTCGTGTCTTCATACCGAATGTGAACCTCCTGTGAATTATCGACTCGATCTTATTAATAGGGCTTTTAGAGTCTGGATCGAGGAGATTACTTATTTTCTTCTTTGTGTAACTTATCTGGCTCTCTACTGAAAGACCTGGACTTGTTTGGCAGCCTTTCTGAAGGAATTCCAAGGGCGTCTTTGGCTTTCATTTTCATGTCTTGGATTGGAAGTTTCCTGCTGCTTTGATGTGTTGCTGATAAAGCCTAATAAGGATTAATGTATTCTGAACAATGAAAGGGCTGATTATGATTATTAGTAAATCTTTCTGAGTAGGGATATAACTTGAAATTTGTTGGTAAATCTAGGATTAAATTCTGCGAGTATTTCTAATAAATACAGCTCTCAAGTTCGTAAGTGGTGAAAGATTACCTTCTTCTGTTCATCTGGAGTTCAGTAGAGCAATGATATTTTAGAGCTACTACCTATTGACTTTTCTTCCTCTTTTGGGATTTTATTTTAACCGGTTGGGGGTAGAAATCTTATCTGACTCACACTCTCTTACAAGATTATTAAAGTTTTCATCAACTTGAATATTGCCTTGTTTGGCTTTGACTTTTGGAGCTTTAGAGCCTGAGCAGCAGAGCACGCCAAAGATCCGCTTGATAAGAGGCTTGTTTTTGGGAAGTGTTATGCCTATTGAGTGCTTTTGGTTTCTAGCTCTCATAACTGCGAAGCTGTCTAGAAAAATGAATAGATTAGACTTTCGTAACACTTATACATACCTCTAGGTTTCCTATTTCTCTGCCCTTGTCCAGGAGTTGATAGAAAACCTCTGGAGACATTGTGTGCTTGGGTTTTATCATCAGGTAAGTTTCTATCGCTGACTTTCTTCACGCTGACCTTCATATTTATTTATATTTTGTAATATTCATTTTAAAAGTTGGAATTGGGGTTTTGGGGTTTTGGGGTTTTGGGGTTTTGGG